GCAAATTCTAAAACCTGCCTAGCATATTTGTGGAGAGAGCCTTGTGATTCCAAAATATGTGCACATTAGTTTTGGGCATGGGAGAATGGTTGCACATTGTGTGTAGCTTAAAAATCTAATTTTGTGCATGAAATTAATTGTGTTTGCAGTGGCCTTTTGGGGAGTATCTGTCACTGGGACGTGTAGATTTCATGGGCAAGCATTCATGCTACTTTAGGATAAGAGATTAGAAGCTATGTTTAGGGAATGGTAGTTTGGACCGATTAGAGATATCTTGGGGCACTTTTGAAAAAGGTCCATCTCTTAGAAATTGACTTATGCCGAATGCACTTCTCTAAAAAGTCCCGATCGTCCATTTATTTCTGCCGAACGGACTTTTTGGAGAAACAATTTATTCACAAGTAAGTTCGTTATTATTTTACTAATATTTGTTCGAATGGGCTTTCGCATCCAAAAGTGCATTTGAAAAGGCTCTAAGCACTTGAAGGTTTTGGCTAATCTTAAAAGAGTAAAATAACATCTAGAGCTGTTAAACAGCCCGTGAGCAGCTCGGATTGTTGGATAAAGAGCCAAGCTCGTGCTCGTTAAAGGTTCTTTAGATAACGAGTCGAATGAGTTCGTCAAGGCTCTAAAAATAAAGTTTCTTTTTTTTTTTTTACATAATTTCATGAATTTTTAGCATAATTCATCTTATTATGCTCTCGTTTCGTTAACGAGCGGAGGCTCGAGCCGAGCTCGATTATCATGGTGGGTTAATGGCCAGATATTTAGAGACAGGCTGCAGTAAAGCAAAGAACAATTCTCAATGTGTAGCATCTTTGGAGTTTGGTGGTGCTACTAATGTACATTCTCTTTTGTATTATTATCAAAAACCAAAGATTCTTGTCAACATTAATATGTATTTTCTCAGTTTTTAAACAGAACATATATACACAACACATCAATTTAAATTGTGCTTATATTGTGCATTATCTTGATATTCTGAATATTTTTTTTCCAAGCTCCTGTAATTTATTCTTCAGCCTAATTAACTCATTTTGGCCTTATTTGTGCTTTATTTAGATTATTATTATAAGAAATGACTTGGCTAGTGCACTGTGTAAATGATGCACTAAAGGGAATGTTTGCAAAAAAAATAAAATAAAATAAAAATGAAAGGGAAAAGATAAATAAAATTTGACACTGATAAGTATTGGGGAATTCAATCTCACTAATGACAGTAGCAGAGAAGTAGTTGAACATGCAGAAACTGACATTTGAGTTGTGGTATAGTAAATGAGTTGAGGGCCACCAGCAAAATTATTATTATTATTATTATTATTATTATTATTATTATTATTATTATTATTATTATTATTAAAAAACAATACCTTGTTTGTGGGAATTTCTGAGTATTTATGAAAGTTCAAATTTTTTGTGTGAATTTCTGAGTATTTATAAAAATGTGACCCCATTTTGATTGTGTTGAGCTGTCTGATCAGTCAAGTGATATAATAAGGGTAGTTGGCATTTGTGGGCTTTTACTTTTCCTGCTGCTTGTTTTACTCAATTTTTATTAGCTTGCAAAATTATTGTACTTTCTTCATTTTTTAACTTATTTATTTATTTATTTATTTATTTGCAGAAGCCACATTTGATAAATATTAATGCTATGTTATTTGGTTTACAAAGAAAATTTGTATCTGCATTATTGTGAACACAACAATGGTCCTATATTGCAACAGTTCTCCAATTTGATTTTCTTTATTTTACCATAATGTGCATACTATGAGTATGCAGTATAAATCACAAGTTGTTATGGTGACCTAAGGGTTATATTAGTCCACCTGAAAAAGTATATTCGTACTATGAAAGAATCAGTTTTGCTGTGGAGTCATTGGATGACTCGACTTATGGAGTCACCTACACGTATTCACCAATAGTGTATTGACACGTGTCCTATAATAAATAAAATTTGGACAAGATTCAATACATTAAGTCCTAGAATACATTTCTATGAGCACCAATATATACATTTTGAATTGTCGATCACATATCCTGACTATTCGTACTATAATTAGACGAAAACATGGTTTTACTTCGTTACGATATATGATCTTCGGGTTAAGGTTAACTGGTTCTATCCATCGGATTACACACACATACACCCATGTGTGTGTTGATCCAATGATTAAAAACTCGGTATGAGTAACAGAATGAAATTTACCGACTCTAAATACCGCTCAATATGGCCTAAACTACACAATGAGAAGTAAAAAGATAAAAATAAAATAAAATAAAATAGCATACAAACCAGGGCAATGAACTTGACATGGAGAGAGACTAATTGCTGAGAGGAACAAAAGTAGAGGAACACAGCATATCTTTTAGATTCCACACATGCAGGAAGCTATAAGTTTTCCAAGTATATTAGCAGATTTCTCGTATTGTGTCTGTACCATGAGCACAAAACGAGCAACTACAGAGTCTATTGATCCAACTATAGACCATATGATATGCTGTAGATTAAGCTCTCACTTCCAAATTTTTTCAAAGATTTGGAAAAACCAAATACAACAAATAAAGAACGAGTGATATCATACTCTCCATATAAATGGCATTTATCAGCGTGGTACATCCTTAATACAAGTCATTGGATCTGAAAGAAGCTCGTGAGTGATTGGCATCAAGCCCTTTTTGGACATTTGTCTAACAATGGCTACTTCAAGCAACCTCACCTGCCAACACATTGTCTTCGTCAGAAAATAAGCAAAATACGGTAAGGTGCATTTCAATAACTGGATCATAGACGCTTGTGGATAAGAGCAAATGCCCATTTGGGATGTTAAAATCATCTGAAAATAGGACTGAGCTGAGAGAGTGGATACTATATAGTACATGTCGACTTTCAAGTTTTTTGGCAAAGTAAAAAAGCCTGTAAAGTTTAAAAAATGTGACTTATTAACACGTAAGAACACACTGAAAACAGAAAAGGAACGAAACTAATTTGTAACATCTTAATGCTTAGAACCAATTTTGGATCCGGCACAATAACTTCATCTGGCCTGCTTCTATTTTTTCAGATACTTGCATGAATAAATCTGGCTCGTGCTCAAATAATAACAATTAAGATGGATCAAAATAAGGGCAGCATATATTTCTGCCTTTCTGCAAGAACCATTATTCTCACTTGGGCCACAGAACAGATAATTAGAGGCAACTAAGAATATGCACACTTTCTGGAGCAAGAAAGATCAAGTATAGAATATGACACAACGAGACAGTCACAGCTTTCAATCTCAGTAAATGCAATGAGTTACAATGCAAGATGGCTCAACCTGCCCAGATCCGAAATTACAATTTCCTTTCTCTTACCCTTCAACAAGGTGGAAAATGAGAAGTAAAAATGCAAAAGAAACAACTGAGAACTAAAAAGATCCTCAACCACCAGAAAACAGTATGTATCACAGCATAACGGGTCATCCTCATTTTTCTATTTAGTTCGTTCTTTCAGTTTTAAGTTACCCCCACGCATCTCCTCTACACCTAAGCTTCAATAGTCAATAAAACGAATTATAGCATTTAGCAACGATTGGCCAACTAAATTTGTTTAATTTCTCACAATCTTCACTTTTTCCGAAACATCCCTCCACTTGAGCAGGTCTGTCATTTAACAAAACAAAAGAAAGGGTGAAAAATGAAGATGGATTGGGTAAAGCCTTATGAATGAATTTGATCCCCAATCGGGCAGCTGCATGAGTGAGGCTCAGGGTGTGATAGCACGATTAAGAAATAACAGGAAGCTTTTAATGTAAGCTAAATAAACCTTGTTCGTAGACTGAAATTGATGAAGGGTTTGTTAGAAGACATCATCATAATTTCAACAGGAAAAAAATATAAATAAAGCAATCAAAAAGTTTCACTTTTTTATTGATTTTACAGTAATCTGTCTTGTGTGATTGGATATAAACTTGACCAGCCCCACTATCCTCAATATTATCAATATAATTAAATAATATCAATCAATCATTCTTACACATCACATCAACTATTCATCCACTAATATAATTTTAACTAACGATCACTTCCAATCATTTTTCTCCTACTTTACCTCAAATCAGCTTTAATTATTATATTTTCTTAACTACGGTAAACAGAAAAACCAATCAAAAACCAATAAAATTCATATCCAAACACACCCTTATCGTTTATACTCCTTTCCATAATAATAGAACCAAATACATAGAAATCTCAATTTAAAATGAAAAGCATCTAGCAAACAACAACACAACATTAAAGAAATAAAAATTCATAAATCCTAAGTCTGGCCAGTAATAATTTATGTAGCGATGAAGTACCCTATCAAAGATACTTTCGGAGCCATTCTTCCAATTAACAAAACATGCACATAATACGTTTACAGCCCATCAAGACTTTAAAGGTACTAAAATCATTCCTTTGCAAATAATCAGAGTATTCAGACAACATAAGCAAGATAAAACAAAGTGACCAACCTGCCTGACAATCAAAGGTTCCTCTGCAAGACTCAGTGGTTCAGTGAGTATAGTGAAAAACCCGTTTCTGTTCCCATAAACAATATCCGTGAATGGACGATCACCCACCTAACATTTTCATAGCCAATATGCCGCGAGATAAGACATCCTCACTCTCACAAATAACGAAAAAGTTGCAAGGAAAACCATACAAAACAGTCACCATCTACTATCTCACCATTACAAGCCTCGAGGATTTGCACCCAAAGTGTTTTTCGATTTCTTCAGCTGTTCCAGCTGGTTTCTTCACCCCTAAATTCAATTCAAGTATTCAACAAACAAAAGCTACCAATCCATAACGACAAAGGCTCAAAGACAACAAAAGACACTTGCCCATCTACATTCACCATAAACAAAATTTCAAATCAAAATCAAAGATTTTCAAGAGCAGAAGCAAAACTCACTATGCCGAATCACTTTGATTCCAATTGCATCCTCAAGAGCTGTGGCTTTTCTACCATCCGGGTCATACTCATACAACCCTAAATTTGTAAGAAGATAAGCAATGTCAAGCAATACAAAAATGGAACAAACACAACCACCCATCTAAGAGAGAGAGAGAGAGAGAGAGAGAGAGAGAGAGAGAGAGAGAGAGAGAGAGAAACTCAATCTCGAATTCCCAAATGACATTTATCTCCAAACTTACCAGCAGAGTTACTGAACACTGCCACATTATTGCCGAACAACGACTTACACTGCTCCACGGACGGCCCAAGGGGCGCCCACAAGCTCAACGAGTAAGGCGCCGTAATCGTGTTGTCCTTGTCAAAGACAACTCCCACGAATCCCCTATTCTTCAGCTCGGCCCAATCAACACTCCTAATATCCGGCACAGAAACATGAGGGATCACCAAATGCTTGTCCCTGGACAGTACCCCAAACGAACTGGCGATTCCTTCTAAATTAATCCTCTGCCCCACCGCGCCTTTCAGATCAGACCACCACATGCTCGACGAAATTCCCGGCGAGGTGTCCACCTCAAATCGTCGAAATTTTTCACCTTCTCCGGCTTGATTTCCGCTCGAGGAGCAGAATTCTTGCGAGAATTCGCGGTTATGGATCTGCTTCTTTTCTTGGTCCTTGCTGCAACTATGCGCGGCCGTGAGTGTGAGGAGGTTGTGGTTTGCGCAGTGGGGTTTTCGGAGCTTGGTGGGAAGATGAAAATGGAGATTGTTGGGTAAGAGATTCTTAGGGACAGGGTAATAGGAGCAAGTTTGCCATGAGGCAATGGAGGCGGTTTGCATATTCAAAGCTACAGATACTGAGAAAGCTTATATATGCTATGGCTATGGTGGGGAAGGGCAGAGAATGAAAGGTTGAAGATGGTTTTTGTTTAAGCTTACTGTTGAGGCCAAATTTCAAAAGTCCATATATGTGAAGCTTGTTGGATTGAGACATGGGCTCTGGTCAAGGCCTGCTTGTATAGCCCATTGGGCCAAAATCGAATTGGAACTTTCCATTTTATAGGCCCAGAGTAAAATTCATAAGTGTATGTATCTCCAATGACTTTTGACATGTAATTTATTGGCGAAAATACACATCCACGTGTAACTCAAACAGCATGGGCCAATTAAACGAGAATTAAAAGTTAAAAAGGCAGATTTGTAGCCACATAAAAATTAATTACCCAAAATTACGAAGCTACAACATAAGGAAGAAAATCTGGGGCAATTTCAACTCAATCTCCCCCCAAATCAGCTCGTGAGAAACTCACATTTCTAGTATAAGAGATGCTACTGAAAAGGAAATTGTTGAAACAATCCAAAACAGAAAAATTCACCTTTCATGGAATTTTCTGTGGACAATAAAAAACAGAGACAGGTGCAACCACCTATAGGCAAAGCGAAATCGAGGCGTCGGCGAAAACAACGATACAAGTCTCCATTTGAGGCTCCTAAAAAGAACAAGTGTGGAATATGCGACGAGAGGGGCCATAATGTAAAGACCTGTCCAAATCCTCCAAAGATTAGAGTAAATAACCATTGATGATACTTGTTGAGTTGCAGAATTTTTTTTTTCAATTATTTTCAGAGTCGATGCTCTGTTGATCCAATTTGGTGCTCTGTAAATAACCATTGATGATACTTGTTGAGTTGCAGAATTTTTTTTTCAATTATTTTCAGAGTCGATGCTCTGTTGATCCAATTTGGTGCTATGTTGAGGACTACCAGTTTACAATGAGTTTTATGTTGTGGACATAACAATTTTTTTTTTTTTTTTTTTTTTTTTTTTTTGCCTAATATGAGTAAATATATATGATTCTATTTTAGTGTCAATAAAGAATATTTTTTGAGTGCATGAGAGTTAATATATTGGTTTTTATATAGATTGATATTGGTCCTTGAAATTGTTTGGTATCAATTTTTGAACAACATTTAGAGATTAGAACGTGTTTGATGTTAGTGTAGTTGGGAATGGATTTATATGTAATTTAATAGTTAAGAAAATGTTTAGATTATCCAAAGAGAAACTGAGAAAATACAAAAAGTAAACACCAAAAGCACACATGAGATTCTGATTTTATAAATTAAAACAACTAAACTTGCTAAAAATATTGTTTATTAAAACAACTACTAAAAATAAGTCAGCTGTTCATATTAAAACCATCAACTTTTTCACAATTATAAATAGTTTAGAAATTCCATAAATAAACACATAAATTACACAAGTTCAAAAATATTGGAATCTGATACTCAATGGTAGACATTAAAAATACTACAAGTAAAATACATAAATATGTTACTCAGTAAGATATACTATAAGTAAAATACAGAAATACTACAAGTATTCTTTGAACAAACATAAGAATTGGAGAAAAATGTAATATCATACATAAAAACACCAAGAAATAAACCTGATAACGTACAATTAGGGCTGGGCAAAAAATTCGAACCGAACCGCTGAATCGTAGATCCGAATCGAAATCGAACCGAATTTTCGGTTAACCGGGGGACTCGGTTCGGATACAAATACCTCAAATGA